CACAAGTAACAAGCTCTTCCTGAGACTACAGCTCCATCATGCCTCTGGCAAGAGAAGGCCAGTAGAAGCGGGGTATACTACTCCCACAATTCATATCAAGGCAGTTAGGAGTACCTAGGAGGGCCGGGGATATAGCTCAGTGGCATAAGCACTTGCCTGGCAAGCCTGAGATTGTGAGTTCGATTCCAGATACCAAAAAAAAAAAAAAAGAGTAGCTAGAAGTGTAAAGAAAGCCTGATACCCAGGCCAGAGGAGAGGACATGGTCTGGCATGGGTTTTTCAGGGAAAAAAAAAAACTACTTCCAGCACCAAGGTGTGCTTGCTTGGGTCTGCACAGGAGTCCCACACACTGGCCCTTACAGAGAAGAACAAATAATATTTGATGACTTGGGTCAGTAAGATATCCTTCAACGCACTGACAGCTGATAAATTTCAAGTGATCCACCTGAATTTTAGAACATTACAGCACTTTAAATGTTCATACCGGAAACCCAGAGATTTACATTCTATCAACTAGAACAAAGACCTAAGGTCTCAATAAAATAAAGGATTATCTTTCAAGATAGTATCACCAGACTTCTGACTCATAAATTTGTTTATTTGTCCTTGTTGGGCCTGAGTCAGGCGCTAGCAACATGTTGATCTATTTACTAATGATATAACAGGTACATGATTTTTACAAATCCTCAAAGTTCACCTTTGCAGGTAAGACTCAGAGGAAGACTGTATGAAATTCAGCATAAAATCTGCTATCAGAATCATATCTGCAGGCAGAAAGACAGTTTTGGGTAGAATTTTTAAACATAGGGTACTGTAATCAAATGAACACTTTTGCAGACTTGGTCCCTGGATAAACAAATAACGGAATACAGGAGTTTGAATTTGGTGGCAGCCATAGCATGTGCACTTAGCTGCTGAGCTGCTTCTCAGCTGGAGCAGTGAGGTTTTTCCCAGCCTGTCTCAGGACCAAGGCCTCCACTGAAGCAGCAGGATTCCAGCTAAAAAGGGTGCAATTGCGTGGCCAAGACCCACTTGTTACGGAGCCAGAAGATTTCCTTCTTTCCTAGACTTCAAGTACAAACAAGATCCAAGCAAATTCGGTCAGGCAGGGGGCAGGACCTCAACAAGATGGATAATCCTCCAGAGATGGATAATCTGTACACAGTGAGATCCTGCGCCTCTCTAAGCATATGGCCCCGCAGATGACAGGTCAACCTTGACAAGAGGGACCTTCGGTGAGCACTGTTGAAACCCTGAAGATTTCTTCCCATTGTGTATACTGTTGGAGGCTGAAGTTCCAAGACAGGTATTCCTTTTATAGAACTCAGGACATGGGAAAAACACTGTTCTCCTATTGGTTAAATAAAGCTTTGCTGTCCATCCTCCCCCAAAACAAAGGCACACAACCCTCTCTCCAGGGAAGAATTCTGAGCCAGTGAAAGAAATAGTAGCATTGTAAGTCAGGAGGTTGGACCTGATCAGAAGAAAACTTCCCCAAAAGTAGCCCGTGTACACCCCTGGTTCAAACTTCAAACTGCTGCCTCCACCAGCCTTCATCATCAGCCTACCATTCCCTCTTCCCTGAGTACAACTTACCAAGTGTTTGGATAGATTACCTCTATCAGAAGGAAAACTAACATTTCCCTGCTCCTTAACTTCTCCTCCATCCTTCAGGCTGCCCCCAACCCTGAGTATCCTCTCATAGCTTACCAATGAGTGAGCACTGACCCTGAGTACCCTTACCGAATGTGTCACAAGCTCCTTTAATTCAGGTATCTGGACTTTGCTTGCAGTGGCCACAAGTAGCCAGCCTTCTGAATCTTGGGGGATGTCACTTTTTGCCTCTAGTCAGTTTTCTCTCAACCGTTCTCTCTTTGGCTACATCTAGCTTAGTCAGGATGCAAAAGCAAAGCTGTTGGCTGACTCTTGTGATAGTAGCCAGGACTTTCCGAACAAAGTGGTCTGCAGGACTCTGGCAGGTGAAGAGCCACGAAGTGAACAGGAACCCCGGAGAGGGCAATTGTAATACTAGTGAGGGAACTGATGGTATCTCTGAAGAGAGGCACAATCTCTGAAGACACGGAGCATATGCAGAACATGATGGGAAGAAAAAGGCTCAGCTTGAGAGCCTGGGACTGTTCAGGTTCTTTCCACTGAAGGTAGTGCTGTCCGACAACAAAGAGGCCCACAAAGGACCAGTAACTGAACCTGAAGTAGTTAGTGAGCAGCAAAACACCCTCCACAATGAGGTACATGTGGGTCACAATGCAGTTGAACAATAAAGCAGGGATGAGAGTAAAACGCTTGGTGTGGATCATGGACAGAAGGTCTGGGAGACCGCCCTCTAGGGGGCCCACAAAGAACATCTTGAAGAAGCAAAGACAGATGTATTAAGGCCCCCAAAGCAAGACAGGGCAACAGCAATGGGGATGATCCAGCTGAACGTGCCAAACATCTGGTCAGAAAATGTCACAGCAACTGCACCGCTGTTCAGGAAGACCCAAACGCTCAACACTGTGTAATAAATAGGTTGCGTTGGTCAGGACTCAGCTCAGTGTCACAACTGGCATAGAGATCCCATTAGCCAAGGGCAAATTTTTTCTGGGTTTTATTTCTTCTGCTAAAATTAAGGGTGTCCCAACCTGAGTATGAGAAGAGGGCAGAGGACAGTGCAAGAGAGAGGTCTCCCACATTCCAAAATGAACCCTTAAAGGCATCTTGAAAGTGCTGAGAGTGTCCCTGGTACAATTTAACAAGGCCCATGACAATGATGGCAACGAGCACTAGGACCTCAGCATAAGGGAACATGTTTTGTCCTCGTGTGCCCCACCTGACATAGGCATAGTTCACAAACGTCAGCAGACATACACAAGCAGCAGCAAGGGGCTCACAGTGGGGAAGGAGGGCTGGTGACATGGTCGATAAAGGTGACTGCCTGATTGGTAGGCTCAACAATTACTAGTGAGCCCATAGGTGGGTGAAGACAATGAAGCCTCCAAAGGTCTCTAGAATATAAGCACAGCTGGCCCCTGACTTGGTGATGGTGGTCCCCAGCTCCACAGGACAAAGGGCATACACAAGGGAGAAGAGTCCACCAATGGCCCACATGACCATGATAACCCACAGAAGGCAGTGTGTCACAGCCTCCTGCAACACACTGGGAGAGACAAAAATCCCTGAGCTGATCATGTAGCCTACCACCAGGCTAACCCCATTAAGCAGGATCTCCTTCTTTAGCAGCACAGCTTCCAGGAACCCTTTCAGTGGTGAGCTCCCATCTTCCACTTCAGGCTGGCTGGCACCAGGGAGATGGTAGGTGGGTGTGGGACTCTCAAACTCCTTGTCTTCCATGGCAAATAGTTCCTGCACATCTATGTTTACTGTGGCCTCTGATTACCAGGCACACCCAGGATACTCTGTTACTCCACAGCCAAGGCCTCCAAGCCCCATACTCCTTGTTCTGGTTTTACCTCTTTCCCCCCTTGAAATAGTCCCTTTAGGTTGCCCAAACTGGCCTCAAGCGATAGAAACTCCGGCTCAACTCCAAGCGGCTGGGACTACAGACTGGTGCCACCCGGCACGGCGTTTTTTGTTTTTTTTTTTTTATTTTTTAAGGTGATGAAGGAGAAAGATTCTGTTGCTACTGCATAAGCATCCCATACCCTCTCAAGAAGAAAACAAAACCCTCCTCAACATGAGCATGATTAACTGGGATTATTTTTATTTGTACTACGGTGTAGACAAAATTAACAATGTTATTAAAATCTCCCTGATTTAAAAGAAACACTGAAGAACTTAAATCTTGCTATGTACTTCAAGCAAGCTTTAAACTCACTATGTAGCCCAGGCTGGTCTCCAACATATGGTGAGCCTCCTGCCTCAGCCTCCCCAGTGCTCAGATTATAGGCCAGTGCCATCATGCCCAGCTAGTGAAGAACTCTGTATTTGAAGAAAGTTTCTGCCGTCCTTTGCCGGGAACGGTTTGTACATAGAAGGGGCTGTGACCAGAACTATCAAGGAAGTCCCAAGAAATTCGGGTTTTCTCTTGGCCACTGATTCCCCGAGTAACTGAATTTCCTGGTACACCAGGGTGTTTCCTGCGAAGCAGGTGATCCCTATGGAATTTTCCACTTCTAGAAACCTCTAGTTCTAAACAGCACACAATACTGGCTTTCAAAGGTGCTTAGCCAAAGAAGATACATTCTTCTTTGCCTCAGTCTCTTCGGCCAGCCTGAGCTACCTATCAAGACCCTGTCTCAAATAGAAAAAAAAAGTTCTTCAGTGTCTGCTTTTTTGTAAAAATAATGTTTTTGTTGTTTTTGTGACCAGGTCTCGCTAGGTAGACCAGGCCAGCCTTGAACTCCCCGTCACACAGGCGTGGAACTCGCACTCCTCTCAGCTCAGCTGGGATTACAGGTGAGAAACTTCAGAGTGGATCTCAATCAATTATATTTAAATCAGCCAGCCCCAAAGGAGCAAATTCCTTAGGCTTAGTGAGTTAAAAAAATTTTTTTTAAAATAAAAATTAACCCAGTCCGTGTCCATAAGAGGATCAGTCTTCCAATAATTCCAAGAGGGAGGCAGTGCAGGGCTCTCCCCACTTTAAAAACCAGGGGACTGAGGTTCAAAAAGCCTAAGTGGCTTGCTTTTGTAGCGGCCAGCCGCAGCTACCCAGCTTCCCCTCACCTCCTCGTCGCACCTGAAGCCCAGGGCGCCACAGCGTAGCTCCTGCAGCCGCAGCGGCGAGGATACTTCCACGCGACCGCCACTTCCGCCTGCCTGGCCCCAGGCGCCCTGCTCGCCCGCCCGCCTCCAGGTCACGAGCTGGCCCGGGGCCCGCCCCCTTGCCCGCTGATTGGGCAGCCGCTCACTTCGGATTGGCTGTTCCCTTTCCGGCTCTCCAGCGCGGCCCAGACCAACCGGATATAGTGGCAGGGCTTCCGTTTCTACCTTCTCCCCCTCTCCGCCCCTCCGGCTCGTCCTCCGGCCGTAGTCGCTGCCACAGCGGCCGCTGCCGGCGTCGCGTACCTGTGCCGGCCGGTAGGGCTCTCGCGTTGGTCTCGTCGGTGCGGCTGACTTGCCCGCCATGGCTGAGCTGGATCCGTTCGGCGCCCCCGCCGGCCCCGCGCTGGGCAACGGGGTGGCCGGCGAGGAAGACCCGGCCGCGGCCTTCTTGGCGCAGCAGGAAAGCGAGATTGCGGGCATCGAGAACGACGAGGCCTTCGCTATCCTGGACGGCGGCGCCCCTGGGCCCCAGCCGCACGGAGAGCCGCCGGGGGGTCCGGGTGAGAGTCGGGCGCGCCGGGGCGGGACGGGGAGCGGCCCCGGGAGTTTCCGTTCGGCCGTGCGGAAGGCGGGGGGAGGCCCGCCGCTCGGAGTGCGGCTGGCCGGGCGGAGCGGGAGGGCAGCCGCCGTGGGGGGCGGCGACGCCCAGGAGCCGAGGGGGCCTGCGGTTCAACTTTCCACCGAGCGCGTGCCGTGCCTTAGCCCGCGCTCTGAGGAGCCGCGTCGGCGCAGCTCGCTCGCCTCTGAAGGCAGCTCTGAGCCTGGAAAGAGCCAGTTGTTGGGAAGGGAGCCAGAAGGAAGGAGAGCAGTAGTGTCGTTTTTGAGACGTGAAAGCGGCAGCGCTGGGTTATGGGGAGGATGCTCCAGCCGCGCAGGACTCCCAGCGGGAGGGCCGGGAGTTCACCGTTGTCGAGTGTCTGGAGGAGCGCTTCTTCCTGTGGGAACGTCTTTGGTAAGCAGAATTGCCTAAGAAGACCCAAGATTAGCCTGGGCCAATCAGCGGGGGAAGAAGAGAATGCGGTGTGGCCTTCCCGGCCAAGCTCGAGAGCGGTGGGGGTGGGAAGGGTGGGATGGCAGTTTGACCTTTGAATGCCTTGCCTTAGCGTGGAGCTTCGGGTGGGTGTGGGGGGTTGAGTGGAAAAAGCCTGTTCAGTAGTATAGAGTAGAAAACTAGCCGGAAGAAAGAAATGTGACGTTCAATTTACTTAATAAAACACTCCAACTGAAGGAAGAAGGGGCACTGTTAGAGCAGATGAGAGGGTCCGTACTACCCTAAACTCAAACCTTGAAGGGCCAGAGAAGCCTGCGAGCTGGGGTTTGAGGCGGTAAGGGATGTTGGAGACTTGGGCTTCGGTGAAGCAGAGTAGTGTTCTGTGTATATTTGAGACCGAAATCTCTAGTCTCTGTGCCAGCCGGGCAGAACCTTTTTGCGGGAAGTAAGAGTAGTTTGTAGTCTCTTGGGTTTTTATAAGCACATCAGCTCCCCAGAAGGACATGTAGTAAACCTCAGTGTGCGACTTACAGAAAGCGGCTTGGACGGAAGTGGGAGGGAAGCTGGAAGTGTAAGCTGGCTCTAAGTGATTAGGGGCTTTTTTTGTCGTTGGGTAGTTTCTAACGTTTACCAGGGAAATAGTCTTTATTTTTTAGATCCTTAGGTTACCCCCTTCGTTTAGTAGAAGAGAAAACTGAACCTTAAAGAGGGGGCTTGCTTCAGAAAAAAAGGTGTATTAATAGACAAGCCTCAAGTCTCCCCACTTTTTAAAACAATTCTGTCGTTTATTTCTCATCTTCTTTTTACAAACCCTTGCATCCAGAGCTGACTTTCGGTAGATGGCGGAGTGCCGGGCTCCCCACAGGCGTGCATTATGTGCCGGGCAAGAGGGCACCCCGCCCCCACCTGGCTCCCCAAGTTTAGGCTGTACCACATTCGGTTGCAGGTGTTTCCGCCAAGGCATGGTGGGATAAAAGAACGGCATTGTGACTGTTCCGGCCAGGACAGAATTGGGAGAAGCAGGACCCAGAGTTAGAAGGCTGTCGTGATGCAGTGATAACGTTATTCTTACTCACTGTTGTATCTGCCAGGGTGTCTGGCACATAGCAGATGTTCATGTACTTGACAGAGAAATGCCCCATAAGAGTCCCGTATGTGTAGAACATGTGGATCTTGATGGTAAGCAGTTTGGAAAGGTAAAAGGAAGAAAATAGAATGGGCCCTTTGTGTATCAAGCCTTCAGCAAAGGGAAGGAAAGGGATGATTGCTGACTTAGTTCCTGGGAAGGGCATTCTTAATGAACTAAGCATTCAGTGACCTAGTGGTAGATCCCTGACAGTGTGGTTGAGGTTGGTAACAGCGCAGTGGTCAGCACTTCCTTTTGGGATTAGAGAACTTGCTGGTCTTCGTCTCCTCCCCCCATTGTCACCCTGGTGGTAGGATTCTTTGCAACCCTATGCTGCTTGAGTGTTTGTTGGTTTCAGGTTTTTGGTTTGTTTTTGTCTTTTTGAGACGAGGTTTCGCTATGCAGTTCAGACTGACCTTGAACTCACTGTGTAGCCCAGGCTGGCCTCAAACTTGTGGCAGTCCTCCTGCCTCAGCCTCCTGAGTGCTGGGGTTACAGGTGTTTGCCGCCACATCTGGCCGTTTGTGACTGCAGCTTTGTGGTCTTAGGTAATCTGTATAACTTCCACTATGGCCTCAGTTTTCTTCTCTATAAAAGGCGCATAATATATGCCATATGGTATTTTTAGGATCAGGTTAAAGAGTATTGTAAAGTGCTTTCTGGTGTATGGTAAACAAACAGGGAATCCTAGATGCTGTTATTTTTGGAGGGCAGGATGAAGGAGTTTATTAGGTTTGAGGTGTACTGAGTAAGATTTTAGATTGGGCTTCTGTTTCACTCAGAGAGTGGGCTAGAGCAGGTAGAGGAGAGAGATAAAGACTAAAACTCCACCCAGCCTTGTGGAAGCCCCCAGAGAATGGGCACAGGCAGAAGCAGAACCGAGTCTTGGATGACTCCCTCAATTTTTAGGTGATCTAGAGAAGAGATTTTAGTTTAGGGGCAGGAGGTAGTCAGCTGGGTGAAGTGGCTTGGGGGATACTGAGAAACACAAAGTGGTCAAGAAGGAGGCAGGGCAAGTAGAGCAGAGCTAACCCTCAGTCACGAGGGCCGGGGAGGGGTGTGGGGGGAAAGGGAAAAGTGATCCAGGAGCTAAGGGGAGAGGATAGCAACAAGGTGCTAGTTACTGTGTCGTGACAAGTCCTTTCTTGGAGGAGAAAAGAGGTGGATGAATTAAAGAGAAATTTTCTGGAGGGAGAGTAATTTTATTGGTAGCAGTGGTAGAGAGAAATTTAGGGAAATCTCACACATAGTATTTAAGTATACTGTACATTTATGTCTGCTCTGTAAAGTGAGTAGTAATGCCATCATATTTTGGGTGAGAAAGGGTCACTGCTGGAGTTAAACAGTGTTTCTAAGGTAGTAAGCTAATTAGTGGCTCAGTTGGGATTCAAACCTAGGTCTGCTTGACTTCAAATATTTGGGGAGCGTAGGAGGTTGAAGGTGGGTTTGAGTCTTTTCCCCTTTGGAAACTTACTCTGGTCCTTGTTTCTTTCTGGACTTTCTAAGATGCCCTAGAAAGTTTTCTTCTGGATCAGTACGTTGCTTAGCTTAGCTGTCCTGATAAGTTAAGGGCCCTAGATGTTTCTGTACCAATGGGCTATCTTTGACTTGGTTCAGTTGTTGATTCATATAAGAATGTCAGTATAAATTGAGCTTGGTGGCAAATGCTATAATCCCAGCACTTCAGGAGGCTGAGGGAGGAGGATTGCCACAAGTTCAAGGGTAGCCTGGGCTACCTAGTGAGTTCAAAACTAGGCTGAACTACACAGTGAGACCCTGTCTCAAAAAACAATGAATACCAGAAAAATGAATACCAGTATACTACTACAGTAATAAAGCTCTCAGAGTGCACCCAAACAGTGGAGGTGGGTGAGTCTTCAGAGACTTGAGGGACAGACAATATGTAATTTAGGAGACACTAGACAAGGGTTCTTTCCAGCTTTGTGTATGAAGTAGTGATCAGTGTTTATCCTTCTGAAAGTGGCCCTGAGCTGGAATATTAACTGCATAGTTGGTATGTTAGCTGTAATATATTAACCATAATGTAGACTGGGTCAACGTAGTCATTGTAGGTTTTTTTTTTGTTTTGTCCTAGGATTTAAAATTGCATAAAAATAAATTCTAAGTGGATTAAAGAGAGGCATTTAAAAAAGTACCAGAGGAAAAGTGACTATTTACCTTATAGTAGGAAAGACCTTCAGCATAAAAGTAGATGGAGAAATCATAAGGGAAAAACTGATACGGTCCACATATAAACTAAGTAGCTTCTAGGTGTTAAATGCCATAACCCAAATTAAAAGACAAGAGGGAGGTAGTATCTGCAGTATGAGAGAACTGTTAATGGGGAATAGGTAAGAGATCAAACGGTAGCAAAAAGAATGAGCAAAATTCGGTTCAGTGAAGAAGAAAATCACATGTCAGATGTGCTGTTACCTTTTGTGACTGGCACAGCCAAACCTCTTATTTTTCTACTATCATTTTAGCAAAAATTTAAAAACGTGATGAAGCAGTCTAGTAGCAGTGAAGGTGTGAAAAACAGGACACTCGCGTGTTAGTAACATAAACTGGCAGACTGCTCAGGACCAGTAGATGGTGTTTAAGAAGTCTTCAGGATGCACATCCTGTGGCCTTTATCAGTGCTTTATCAATTTATTATAGAGGAGCAGTCGATATGCCACCAGAGTACTTTGCTTCACTTTTGGGTGAGCTCTGTATTTCTAAAACTTGGTGGAATGTTCAGTCATTTTTGTTGTTGTTGCACCTAAGCAGCGTGTAGTAAAAGGTCACTGGCAAAAATCTATAAAAAATTCATTTTTGTTAAGAATATCATGAGTTTGAGGCCAGCCTGGGCTACATAGCAAAGCAGTGTCTCAAAAAATTTTAGAAAAGGATAGCTGGGCATGGTGATGCACATCTTTAACCCCAGCACTTGGGAGGCTGAGGCAGGAGGCTCGCTGCAAGTTCAAGGTCAGCCTGAACTACATGTGAGACCCTGTCTCAAAACAAAAGGGAATGGGGGAGAAGTTCAATTTTGTACTCTCATAAAGCACAGGAGTGGTTGTTCACATATGTGAAGCCCTGGCTTCGATCCCCAGCACCAGGAAGAAATAAGCAAAACACAAAACAGAGAAATTAGGTCAGGAAAAATAGCGGGGGTTTGTTGACATAAGATACATAAAAATCAGCATTCAAAACATCAGTGCTGAGGTGGGTTGCTATGTGCTTAGAAGGTTTTGTAATCATGTATCAAATTAATATATGCTCTGGCA